AATCTTAATACGGGAGTTTGTATAATTTAATGTTAGGAGATTTGAAATTAATGAAGAGTTCAATTATGAATTTTTAGTAGAATAGTTCATAATTTATTATAATAATATTTTGCTGATTGTATAAATAAATTATTATTATAAGGTAGCCTTACCCCCAAAGGATGGAAACCACACTGTACAAACTTTCGGTAGTCTTGGGTTTGATTCTTAGGGGGTCCAAGCAGTTAATTAACTCCTGCTTGGGGTTAAGCCTGCCAATGCTCACGGATCATAACCCCATGTGTATTGGAGATTTACCTGATCCATGTGGAGGGGGCATTGCATGGACCCGAAGTGAAGAGCAGAAATTACGCCTATCCGCTAATCAATCCTAAGGGCTGGACACCACCCTGATATCAAAAATAATTATAAGGTAGCCTTATTCATTTTATTCATGTGGATCCTTGTTGTGCTTGTGTTATTTAGAGCTAATTAAGAGGTTAATTAAATATAATCTTAATATTGCAAAACGTGATTATATATATAGTTGTTCATAAATCTTTTTAGAGATGCTTTGACTAAACCTAGAAGTTAGTCTCCCATATTTTTTATATCGTTTTTATTAATGTTAATTTTTAATTGGAAAAATATATAAGAGATGCCTTAGGCTAAATATATATATATATCGTTTTTATTAATGTTATTTTTAATTGGAAAAATATATAAGAGATGCTTAGGCTAAATCTAGACGTTAGTCTCCCATATTTCGTTTTTCCCCTTCAATAGTCATCTTTCCACACAGACAATTCTGAAAAAATAACTTAGATCACACAATAGAAGATTGCAGAGGCAATCAGTGTGGTTTCGATGAGCAGGAGCTATTGGCAAAAGAGCTATTGCATGAAAGAAAGATTTAAAATCAATGTTGATTTCTTTCGCTTAAGAGGTATTTATGATTCCATAACTATTGTTTATGATTTTTGTGCCTTTGTGGTTTGCCTATATGTTATGCATTTGCAATCTTGTGGCTTCCATTGTATGTTTTTTCCGTCATATTGAAAAAAGCTAAAGAGGTCCACTTTGTGCAATTTGTTACTAACTTGCAAAGTTTAAAATTCATGCTAAAAAAGGCATGAATTAAATTTTTTTAAAAAAAAGGTGTCTTCAAATTTTCAAGATTCGTTCAAACAAGTTCATGAACAAGTCTCGAGGAAGCATTAATAGACACTTAAATTTTGTTAAGTTAATTTAATTATTAACTTAATTAGCCAATTAAATTGTTGGTTAGTTAATTTAAATAATTTATTTTGATAACTAATCAAAATATTTAAATGTTTATTAAAATAAAATTATTAGATAAATATTATTTGCTACATTAAGTAAATAAATGTAATAAAGTCCAATAAACTCGCCAAATGGGCCAGTTAAATTAAATACTTGGTGAACAAGTTAAGTGATAAGCTAAGCAACGCAGCAGCAGTAAATGAGAGCTTGCCAAATGGACCAATCAAATCACATGTTTGGCAAAGAGACTTTCTCGAATCTCTATAAATAGGCATCCTCTTCACATAAGCGGATACACACAGAGAAAAGACAAAAAGAAGTCAAAGCTCTATCAAACTAAAAGTTATAAAAGTTCTCTTCCAAATTCAAAGAATCAAAGTTCTTTTAACATCAATTCTCTTTGACCTTTGAATTGTTCTAAAGTTCACTCTACATCGATTCAAGATCAAGTCTCTTCGGTTATTGAATTGTTTTATCAAATCTCTCTCTGATCCAAGATTAAGTTATTTCGACCTTTTAATCACGTTCGCAATAAGGAGAAGAATCAAAGGATAATCTTTTTTGTAATCGGATATTTCATAATCAGAGATTGTATCCATTATTTCTTTATAAATACAATTTATATTTAGTATTTTTGTTTCTTAATTTTCAGGAACAAATTCTATGCTTACACATGTAGGCCTAAATTGGATAAAAATGTGGTTTCCAATTGGATTTGTGATTTTGCTGGTGTCTTCTATAATTGTAGAATTAATTTATGAGTTTTGAATTAGGTTTTGTGATTTTGAGTTGGATTAGCAATGTTTTAGTTGAATTGTTAATTCTTTGCATTCGTTATAGAAATCTCCACTTATTTCATTAATTATTTTCTTTGCCTTAATTTCCTCATCCACTTTGCATCTCAGCTCATGTTTGTTCCCTCAAGTTCTTATTTAAGCTTTGAAATGAAAGTAAGATTTACATGAACTTTTTCCTTTTATCTCTGCTAAATTTTATTTTGGGCAAAATGATATTTCCAATTTTTTATTATGTACTAGCAATTGTTCAACTACTTTTTTACTTGCAAATACAATATAGATATTAAGTTCAACAATAATGATATCTAAATTTCTTAGACCGAATATATAAACTTACCCATGAACGTTGTAACTTTAACCGTGTGGCACCTTGAACTTTGTGAATAACTTATCGTGTACTTTAAACTTGTAAAATTTGATAATATTACACATCTTTAGACACTAATATCAATAATTTTTACAGTTTTTGACTTTTATCTGTAAAATATCGACTTGATATGTAGTTGGCATGACTTTTGGAACAATAATTTTTAAAATTTTCAACTTTTTAACGAGTGTTAAATTGATCTAATTTTATATGTTGAAGTATTTAATAAAATAATTTTAAAACTTGAAGCGTTTAATAGCTATAGTTTTATAAATTGAAATATTTGATAGTTTTAAAATAAAAGTTAAGGTTGTCACAAGGTTAAGTAACAAAGTTCAAGGTTGAATTTGTATATTCAGTCAAATTTTTTATAATTTAATCCATCATAATAATCGATATAAATTTAAGAGCCAAGATAATTGTTAATGTAATTGATGTAATTATTCCAACTATTAACCATTTGCATCAAGCAGAAACTTCCTTCTTGCATGAGTGCTCCTTCGGAAGCACACACCTTCCCTCAAAAGAAAGACTTACTCTCTTTAGAATCTCATGGTACACCGTCGCTCACTAGGCTAATCCATAAGGATTTGAAATCTTTTGATTTTTTTATTAGCAATATTGAGTTTTCGATCACATAATTAAGTTTTTTTTTATATGCATTTATCATTATAGAATCTAGTTCTTTTTTCAAGTATATCGAAAGCAAGACATCCCTTATCTAAAGCCTACAAAATAGATACTTATTAGTTTAATTGATTCAAAATTTAGGGATAAAATTATCAATTAAAAAAAAAGATTAAGTAACTTAATCTTGTTAAAATATAGAGAGAATAGTATTTTTCTAAAAAAGTAAATATTCAACTCTAGCATGATTCAGCTAAAATCTAATATTGGGATAAATGTCTTAGTTAAAGATTCTCATTTTACCTGATTCATTGAATATCCAATCAATCCAAACCGATTAGAACAAATTAGATATAATTCAATCCAATTAAAATATGAATCGGATATAAATATCTATCGTTTCTTATCTGAATATATCCAAACCTGATTTGGTTATTTTATTCTTATTTAAAAAAAAAAACAAAAAAAAAAAAAAAAAAAATTGGTTATTTAAAAAAAAAAAAAAAAAAAAAAAAAAAAACAAATCAACTCTTTTTGTGGTTATATTTATTTTAAGTCTGCCCCATGCGAATCCATATCCACTCCAATTAATCATGGAATGGATATATAGTGGACAAAGATCCGATTTGAATATAAGAAAATTCAACCAGAATCATATCCATGATCAAGCCTAGTCTCAGCAACGGGGGAGATGACATGATTCAGATTGGACATACAAACAGAAAACAAGAGCTTAATTGAACATGATAAATTCAAAGTTCAACTTTTTCCAATAAAGCCTGACTTTTTCCAAGACCACCGCCAAGACTTCAAAGTTCAAACTAACGGATCTTCCATTTGAGTATCTGCACATAGAAATCACCAAGCCGTTAAATAAATTTTTTCTTTTTTGAAGAAAAGACTTAACGTTTGCTTTTCGTTAAAAAAGGAATTTTTTGAAGAAAAGCCTAGTCTCAGCAACGGGGGAGATGACATGATTCAGATTGGACATACAAACAGAAAACAAGAGCTTAATTGAACATGATAAATTCAAAGTTCAACTTTTTCCAATAAAGCCTGACTTTTTCCAAGACCACCGCCAAGACTTCAAAGTTCAAACTAACGGATCTTCCATTTGAGTATCTGCACATAGAAATCACCAAGCCGTTAAATAAATTTTTTCTTTTTTGAAGAAAAGACTTAACGTTTGCTTTTCGTTAAAAAAGGAATTTTTTGAAGAAAAGCCTAGTCTCAGCAACGGGGGAGATGACATGATTCAGATTGGACATACAAACAGAAAACAAGAGCTTAATTGAACATGATAAATTCAAAGTTCAACTTTTTCCAATAAAGCCTGACTTTTTCCAAGACCACCGCCAAGACTTCAAAGTTCAAACTAACGGATCTTCCATTTGAGTATCTGCACATAGAAATCACCAAGCCGTTAAATAAATTTTTTCTTTTTTGAAGAAAAGACTTAACGTTTGCTTTTCGTTAAAAAAGGAATTTTTATAGCATATATTGGAAATTAATTCAGATGATGAAAACTAAAATTTAAACCAACTGCAGTGAGGTTTTTAAATTTAATTATATAGTATTATTTTACGTATATTAATTTTACTATAAATTGTGATATTAATGATTATATAGTATTTTCATATATAGTTAATTATATAAACTCTCATATATAAATAATTGATATTGTTAATTATATAAAAACTGATGTAAAATAAGAATTGAAACAACTATTATAAATTCTACTTGTAATATTATTATTGATAATTATACTAACATTTTAATAGATATTATTATATCACATATAATATCATTAAGTATGGCTAGTAACACTTATAATATGTATAACATTTTTTTTGCTACCTAATTACAACTGGTATTATCATTTTAATTAATTAGTATTATAGTTTTCATTAATTAAAGACCTTCAATAATAATTTTTAAATATTTATAACTATTTAATTTATTTGAGTTGCTAATGACTTGACCGACAATCGAAAGATATAATAATTATTTAATTTATAAAATAATTTACATTATTAGATATACAAAATACAATATAAGAAATATTAAATATAAAAATTAAAAACTTAAACCGCGAAAATACATCGTTTTGGTCTAAAGAAATTAAGAAACACTTAAACTCCATCACATCTTCCTTCACAGTCCACACATTTTGTTTAACCCACACCCATTTTCTTAGTTCCTTCCTCCATCGCCATCTCTTCAACTCACTTTCTACATGCTCTCATTTAACCGTTCTTCTAGTTTCGCCTGCCGTCTTTCTTCTAATTTCATATGCTTAACAAGATAATAGGTATTTCTTCTGTTTTTCTTAATCTTAAATTTGTATACATGCCTCTACTGTTTATACATGGGTCGCGAAATTTTATTCATTTTCATTTTGTTTTTGACTCAATGAATTGATCATGAAAGCAACAACACTCCACTGACATAAGAAAGGTACCACTTTCTGCTTTGTTTCCAGCTGCAATACAAATGCTACTGACTTAGAAATTGAATTCTAAAGTTTTGAATTTCTTATAGTTTTAGCTTTTTACTTTTCTATCTATACATGATTGTCTTGATAAAACTTTTCCATCTATTGCTCTCAACTGGAAACTATATTTTGGACCTGATATTATAATCTGAAGCAATTTTCTGCATCGATTTTTTGCTATTTTAGATTTTCTAAATAGGTGAGTTGCCTTTTGTTATATTCTTTCAATATATCAAAATTTTAAGATACCTTTTTTATTTTTTATGGCCCTCCATTTCACTTCTGTAGTAGAAACGTCCAAGTTTATAGTTTATGTGTAATGCTAATTCACTGTATCAATTATATGTAAAGCTAATTCATTATTTTTATGGTTATTGCTACTGGTAATGTTCCTTTATTGTTAGGAGTTACAACTAATCAAAACTTTGACTTAGATTTTTTATACTCATGTTCAATTTGTTTGATTTTTTAATACTAAGTTAAAAAAAGTTGAAAAATGTAAATGAGGCAATTTGGCTTCAAGGATTATTTGATAAAATGAAAATTGGACAAAAGCATAAAAAAGTGCATTGACATAGTGAGTGTTATCCATTTAGCAAAGAACTAAGTTTATCATGCAAAGATAAAACATATCGATGTTCGATATCAATGAGAAATTTTAGAACGTGACATATTATTTTAAAATATCAAAACAACTGAAAATCCTGCTGATATAACAATAAAAGTATTGAAAGTTATCAAGTTAATCAATATCGTTGAAAATTGAGTTGCTCCCTTCGAGGGCACAACGGAGAAGGTGAGGAATTTCTAATTTTTGTGAATTTATAAAATTCGAGATTTGTTAGTAATGCCTTCAATTTAGGATAGACGACTCGATGAAAAAGTAGATAGGTGGTAATGAAAGGCCTTAGGTGAAAGACAATAGGCGACAGCTTCTGAGAGAATCAATCCATGCATACGCAATAGCAAATGGAGGAGACGGACAAACATAGGCAATAGCCTGACTGCAAGAAAGGGACTTAGGCAATCTCATATTCCCTTAAAATTGCTTTGAACGATCGCTTGCGGCTTGTCCTCCCGCCTATGTAATTCTCGAGGTGAAGTCTCCGTACAATGAATGACAGCTCAAACTAGTTATCATTCAATATACGCCAGGTCATGATGTGAAAGAAAGGGAAAATTGTTATCCACTACACCGCAAATTAGAATAACCTCTAAGCAAACCATCGCCTATAAATACATAGCTTGGTAAGAAAGAAATTGCATGTGGCGGAGAACGCGGTGGAGTGTGTGAGATAGACATAGTGCAAGAAACAAATATATAACCATTTTTCTGCTTTTTATTTAAGTATGGTAATTTTGATCAAATTAATTACTGTGTACAGTGGAAGAGAACAAACATTTTGATATTTGGGATCAAGGATTTGAATGTTATCTTCCGTTTATATTTTTGTATTTTCATTGTTATTTGTGAATTTTCTTCTCCTTCGCCTATAAATGTAGTCTGATATTGAACTACGTAAATCTTTTATATCTCCTCTTTTCTTTTACCATTTTATCATGTTAAGGAATCAAAGTTAGATCTAAGAGTAAAGAAAGTTATCTTTGTGAGAATTCTCTAAGGTAAAAGGATACAGATTTTGGTTCCTAAAAACAAAAAGGTCAATCTTTAGCAGAGGTGTCACCTTTGATGAGTCTACCGCGTTAAAAAAGATAACTGAAGAGCAGTCAAAATGGTATTCCAAAATAGGTAGAGTTTAAAAGAAAAATTATAGACCCAAGAGCAAATGATGCAATGGTTGGAGACACTCACTACAGTTGGAGTGTCAAACTATAAAGAGGTTCCCATTCAAGAACCTATGCAGCAACATGAATCAATCACTCTGAGCAAGTCAAATAGCCTATCTATTTTTCCATCAAGTTTGATAAGTGATAGCATATCCTAAATTCAAAGCATTACCAACACATTGACCCAATTGATCTAGATCAGATCATTGAAAATTTTAATTATTTATAATTACCTTAAACGATAAATACAAATTATTAATATTTTTATAGTATGCTAATAAAACCACCCCAATAGTTAAACTAATTATCTATCCACTTTATCCACTCAATTCTTTAACCGAATCAGTAGTATTTAAATGAATTTAATCCAAAAAATCCAACTAAAAAAAAAAGTAAAAATCAACTTAACCAAATATGAAGTCAAACCAAGTGGAATCAAAATATTTTGCTTTTACCGATAACTGCATAAAGAAAATTACAATTTTATCCTCTTAAACAAACTGATTTAATAGAAAACTCAAATTGAACCGAGCCAACAACAAATCACATCGATTCGTTTCAATTTTTTTATTTGAACCAAAACTTACATTTTCGTTTTTTTTTTTTTTTAACAAAAATCAGTTATTCAGTATTAATCACAGAAACTGAACCGAAATTGAGTTAAATTGAATTTCAAAACAATAGAAACCCAGTCGAACTAATTTTTCGAACTAAACTAAATTTACTGATTTAGAAACCTTAATTAAAGGAAGAAAATTCATCTTAATTTCTTTTCTTTTTTCTTTTTTCCTCTAAACAAAGCGTAAGGGGAAGAAGTTACATAGGGAGAAATTACCAGAATCGCATTTAATCCGACACTTGATCTCACAGCGTTGCCTAAGTCTTTCTGCATTTGTCGAAATCACAGAATCAAAACTCATCAAATCAAATTGAATAACACCACGAAATACATACCGTTTGGATTGACACAAGCTGTGGTGCAAGCGTCCAAGCAATCCGCAGCGGAAGGCTCCACGCTCTCCAGCCCGCCAAAAATCAAACATACTATCATCAAAACTGCAGCCACTTTCTTCTCCATTTTCTCTTTTCTCTTAACTTCTCTTCAATTCAATCCTCTCTTCTATTCTTGTCCCAATCCACTTATCTTTATATATTGGTTTTTCGTTGATTTACGAAAGTGCCACCACGCGACCTCGGTGCCATTAATCAGTTAATGATGGGCCAACTTGCTGTTGACTGCCCACCTTCTTTGAATACTATCACGTGGTATCAATTGTCATTATAATGAAGACAGAAAAATAGGGAGAAACTAACCTCCGTCTATATGCAACGATATTTTCATAAGTTAATTATGTAAAAAAGAAAAATAAATAAGATTCAATTACTATGTATTTGTTCAATTATACTTCTAATATATATGTATATATATTAGTAAAAGTTTTTATTTATTGAATTTAATGATGTAGTCTTTTAGTTTTATTTTTGTTATACTACTTTATATCTACATCTATACTATATATAAAAGTGAAAATAAGAGGAATAATGAGATTTGCTATATTATTCTTGTAAAATTCAAGATACTCCGAAATAACTTTAATTATAGCGGATTAAAAAAATTTTAACATAAATATATATATAATATCTCTATAATTTGATTGAATTTTTTTTAACTTTTTTTTAATAGATAATATATATAGATAATTAAGCATTTGAAAATTTAAAATTTTACTATTAATATTTTATTATGTCTAATTATGTTTTATATTATTATATAAATTATTAATAATAATTTAACATAGATATATAATATAAGTTCTCTATTATTATTGATGAATTTTTTTTACTTTTTTTAATAGATAATTTAATAGATATTAAGGCATTTTGAAAATTTAAAAAATAATTTACTATTAATATTTATTATGTACGATATGTTTATTTGTTAGTATAATGGTTTATATTAATAATAAATATCATTTATATTATCTATTTTTTTTACTATTACTGAATTTATTCTCTAATTAAAATATTGTCAATTTTAGAATGAAATATGTCGTTAAATATGAGGGCATTTAAAATTTTTTTTTTTGATACATGTATTTTAAAATCTGAATTGTATTAGATAATTAAGTTTTATTTAAACAAGTGATTATGGGTTAAAATTTTCTTTAATACAATTGCACTCTAATTTAGTGGTCAAAAATAAATAAAATTAATTATTTCTAAAATTATCGAATTTAAAATAAAATAAAAAATTATTATTTTTAAACATATCGAATTTGATTAATTATATTGATATCTTATTTAATTCAAATCCTATTCTTTCTATAAGGAATATAATTTTATTAATAAATTTTTTCAATGATTTCATGATTTTGATTGGATAAAAAACTAAAAATAAGAATTATAATTTGATTTATTAGATTAGTTTTTTATTATATTGTTAAAGTATATTTATTTACTAAAAGAGATTATAGTTAAAGTTATTAACAAAACATATAAGTTAATTCTAAAACGTAAAATAAAAGTTATATGATGACTTTTATAAATAAATTTGGTACTTAAATAAAAAAAATAAAAGCAACTAGCGTATAATAAAAACTATATGAATTATTATATTGAAGAGAATATAAATGACATATTTCTTATTTAAATTGCTATTTTAAAGGGAGAAACAAATATATCAATTTTTCTCAATGGGATATTACAGTTCAAGACATATAATAAAAAAAATATTTTAATGTTTATATAAAAATCACTATATTATTGCAATCTAAATAGGAATTTATACTTTAATTATACAAATAAAAAAGCTAAATGAATATAAAAAATTAGCATATAATTACGAGTATAGTCAACGAGTATCGCAAGTCATAAAAAAAACTAATAATTATAAAAATATAAAAATAAGAGTTATTTTTAACAAGTAATATTAAATATTGGTATAATAGAGATTTACTATATTAACTAATTCATTAAAATGGTAAGTGAGTTATAATTTAGAACAAACAAAAACATGAAAGTGTATCTATCAATTGGAGATGGAGGAAATAACTTTTAGCAATTAATATTTATTGACTTGGACTCTTTGAATGTTATTTTTAAAGACAGTTTAGAATGTTATTTTTAAAGACTGTTTAGGCTCAATTTTAGCCAAAATGTTGGATTGGATTTTAAAGTTTAGAAGATGGATTCTCAAGCTATGACAAAGATGTGCGAAGGATTTTGTATTCTTTATATTGAGGTCAACTATGTTGAATTCAAACGCAAGTCCAATTTGAAAAGAACTTGCTCATTTTGTTTATAGTAATTTATACTCCATCGGTTCTATTCATATAGAGAGTTAAAATTTCTCTAGGATTAAGGAGTCAGTTTTTTTATGGATTTTTTCCTAATTTATCCCTGAAAATACATTAAGATGGTTCCTAAATTTCAATAAAAGGTGGTAAATGAAGATAAAGATGATGTATTACTTAATTAAGGAGTTTTATTTACTCAGATTTCCAATAACAAAAAAAAAGAGGCTATTTTATTGTAACTGTCCACTAAAATTTCATTATCAACTTTGGATTGTAAAATTTGAAAGAAACTTTAGAGCCAAAATTTTCGGCCTCAAATTCTTTATTTTGTTTGTCCAAATTTGCATGTAAAAAATGAAGCATAGAGCCAAAACTTTCAAAGCTGAATTCATTTAAATAGGAATGAGTTCACGACTCTAAAATTTACTCCACAAACGATATGGACACAATCCTTCCTTTTAATTTGAATACAGTCCCTCAAAACTTGCCTACAATTTAGAAGATGTGGCCATCCTCAACAATCAGACCTTAGACTTAATCTCCTTGCCATTTGATGAATAACTCCTTTTGTAGAATTTGAAACCACACCACCCCTAATTAATGTTCTAGAAAAGGCTCGAAAGGACAACAAAAGAAAAAACATCATTGAAGATGTGAAAAATACAGTTTGTATGTTATTATGTTCTAAAACTGAGAATGGTAAGTCAAATGCTCGTAGTATTCATAAAGTTGCAAACAATTTATTCATATCCATTAAGATAATTTATAAAATTTGGTATACTGCAAAAAATGGGGATGGTGCTGAAACTGGAATAAAGAGTTTTTGGAACATGAGTAAGAAACAAGTAGAGATATCTCCAAAAAGGATAAAGTCAATTCCTCTTAGAAGATGAAAACACTTCGACCGTTGTCACATGAACTTGGATATTATTTATCTTGTGTGCACTGATTGATTAGAGTTGTTAGTAGATCTCACCATATGTAAGCACTTAATTATTAAGCATAAGCTTCTTGGTTAAATTTAATCTGTGCATATAATGTGCTTGAAGTTCATATTTTCTTAATACGCGATTTAGTCAATTTTGGAACAAAAAATATCTAATAACAATAATGTCACTTTCTTGAAAATACTCTCAAACTCAATTTTTAATCTATAAACCAAAACAATAGCATATTGGACTTTTTACTTTAGCATTAGTCCCAAAATTATCATTTTAGAAAGATTGCTCTATACAAATAAAACGCCAAAAAAATGAATTTTTTGTATAAATAGAATGGAGGGAATATTTATAAATAATTGTCTTATTTATAGAAATTAGAACTTTGAACTCGTCTATTGAGAAAATTTATAAGCTTTCAATTCATTGTCAGACTTTTTTTTTCCTTTTTTTTTTATTTTTTTCCAATTGAGCCTCAAAAGATACACTCTCAGTCCCGTCTATTTTCAATTACTTTTATCTCATAATTTTTGTAAGATGGCTTAAGAAAATGACAAAAAGAAAATTAGTGTACATATTCTTCACTATTTTTATCCGATTAGTTTTAACTTTAGTAAGAGGACATTGTTGTGGAAAAAACTGTCTTTTTCAGTAAGAGATACATTATTCTTTGGGCAAACGTTGTTAGCGTTAGGACTAGAGCAATGAATATCTAAAATCATTTAACTGACCAAATTGTCATCATTTAACTAATAAACTTTTAATATTAAAGTTACTACTACATCCCTTTTTATTTTTATTTTTAGTTTTTTAATTAATTCATATTATTTTATCTTATTCATTATTGACCATTAATGCCTAAGATGTCTGTCAATATATTCTAATTAATTGTCGTTCAATATGGATTATTTTTTTTCAATATATCAAGTTAAATAAAATTCAACATGAAATTCCATAATACAAATAATCAAACAAGCTTCATCAAATCTACACAACTTGCCCAGTTTGCCCTTGGCAATGAAATTGACTGATCTCCATGTAAAGGGAAAGATGCAGAAATCAAATTAGACTTGTCCTAATGTCTGAAAGCAATTGCATTTGATGTAGAGAGAGATGGCGAGGGACGCAGAACATCTAAACCATCAAGGTTAACAAATGCAGTATAGGATGTAATGGGCCAATATAATTTTAACTAATTCCCAGAATCTAACACCTTGTCTGTTTTAACCCACAGAATTTTGTAATTATTACAACCCTCTATCTACTAGCACATCATGCCATTTTTGAATCAGAAAAGTCTTCAAACTGATATGGCTGATGAAAAGAGGGATTTGATGGTTCTCTAAGACCACCCTGTACATTCTATCCCCTGTGCTTGTAACTTTCCTGCAGTTGCGACTAAACAAGCCCCCTCATAAACAAACAAACTTCTAGTCGCCAACTCCCAGGAATAATTTTCATCATAATACACACTTTCAAGGAAAGATAATTAAGCAGTAACCTTACGCTTTTTGCCCACCTGCAATACCAAGCAGTTTCTCCGCCAAAGTATCAAGTGGGATGCACAGAGAAGAGCTACGGCATTCTGGATATCTTTAGTTCGTTCTTCAACTCCTCACCAATTCAGAGTTCATCTGACCACTATTCCCTGAATGTGCATTCAACCCAGTAACAGAATTTCGTTGCTGTCCAAAGTGTCTTAAAAGCTCCATCTGGCGTTCATCAGTATGGGGAAGGCATGCGCGCAAAAGCTCCACAGGCATTTCACGTTTTGTAGCTGCACGCACCTCTAAATCATTGCCTTCTGCATTAGGAGGATTGTTTGCATAGACTGTTTGCAGTATCGTGTCATATTTAATCAGGCAATACTTGGTAAGAAGATCAAAAAATTCATTAAATGAGGCCTGCCAAAGGGCAAAATTAGTTACACTGCAGTTTGCTGCAGCCTGGGGATCAATTAATAGTTTATTTGCCCTCTCAAGAAGAGATTTCAAAATGATAGAGGCACCATCCCCAGCAGGGCTGCCAAGAGGTCTAAATGGTGGCTGCTCTGAAGAACAAACCACTGCAACAAGGCAAGCACTCAATGCATGAAGATCCATGCTATTAACACATGCTGAGACAGTCTTGACAAGATTCATAGTTGTCTCAGCTGCTGCTGAATCTTTAGGAATGCCACCGAACAAAAATCTTAAGTGACGGAATATAGCCATGCAGACAATTCGGGTGAGGTCACTACCAGGGAAAAGAAGCTGCAGGAACTTACATATGAGCTTCTGACCCTTGGGGAGAGAAACTATCCGCAGGAACACAAGATCATCCTTGGAAGCCAATCCAACTGTTTTGCCACTTTGGCCAAGTGGATCAACAAGCTGAAGGGAAGCTGCTAATCCTTCAAGCACCATCTGCCGCTTACGCCTGAGTTGAGCCCCACCATCTTGGGGTTGATTGAATTGTAGGAACCGATCAATATCATCCACTTCAAGGAGTTGGCACATTGCATCTTCAACAGCAATTCTAGCTGCAAGCATAGGCTCCTGTTCCAGAGGCCTCTCAGAGACTTGCTCAGTGCTTCCATCAACAGAACCGGGAGGATCAGCATCAAGCAGAGGAAGTGGTTTATGTATAGAGAGAGGAATCTTCCCAGCAGCATTACCATGGAGATGAGACTGCTGGTCAGAGCTGTTACGACCACGATTTGGAAGTTCTTTCATGTGAGATGGGCAGAACTGGTGTTTAGCTCTTGATCCAGCAGATCTTTTGGCAAGACGAGCTTGATGGTAATAATCATCAACATATGGGTCACTGCTATGTGTAGCAGCATGCTGCATTTTCAGAATACTTTCTATCTCTTCAGATGTCATATATTTGGATCTGAATTGCAACAAGCCACTATCACTTTTCTGACTGCTGGCATCCGAACCTTGTTGAGAAAGACGTGTATTCTGCCGTCCTTTATGTGATGATTTGTGTTTTTGATCTGATAATCCAAACATCATTTTATGTGCTGATGAAGGATGAGTATTATAAAGGTGGGACTGCATCGCTGCTAAATGAGCCAAAGATGGTTGGACTGGATTATGCAGTCTCTGCTGCTGTGGTGAAATCAAATGTGGTGAGATCAGGCCATTTTGATGGGATAATTGTTGCTGCAATAGACTCTGTAAGAGGCTAGAGTGATCTACTTGTAATAGGCCAGCATGGTTAACCCAGTGATTTTGAGGCCTGTTATTAAAGGAAAGGCCAGGAGAGCTGACTGAGGGCATATTTCCACGATAATGTAACCCAGGATGTATGGCGGCCAGTTGAAGATTAGAGTTGGATGAAGGAGAGAGGTTTGAATTCGAGAAGGGCTGTGGTCCACCAGCAAGAAGGTGATCTTGTGAAGCATGTTGATTCTGGCCACCAGGAGGAGGGAAAGACATGAAGTTTGATTTAGGTATGAGAATTGGTTCACTTGAGTAGCGCTGTAGTTGCGGTTGCTGCTGGGGATATGAGGATGTTCTGTGCAGAGGTTTCGATTCTGAAAAACGAGCTGAAGAAGGTTGGGGCTGTGATGACCATCTCTTTCCCTCCTGAGAATTTTCAATATCAAACATTTGCTGATCCAACCAGCTAGAAAAGTCTTCATCTTGTGCCCAGTCAGTGGCAGATGAACCTGAAAACAGCATGCTGTTAAGGTACGATTGAAGGAATGGATTCAAATTTAGTCCTTAAAACTTCGCCAGAATTAGTTCAATGGAATATGATTCCACTTAATATACTTGAGAAAATTATTCAAACAGAGAGAATTATATTTTACTACGGAAAAATGGTAAAAATGCAACCACTAGACAGCAATTATTTTTTATTTGATGCCACTATGAAAATCATGCAAAGAATCAACATAAATTTTGCAGGGTTCACTATATATATGTCACGTTAATGCTATATATTGTGGACAAAAGAAAAAAGAATCTGACAGTTAATAACTACGAGCAGCAAGAAGAGTCAATATTCTCTAAGGCTTTCAAATTGACCATTAAGGCAGACGAGTAACTGATTCTCCTGGTGGTTGAGTGTCTACCTTGTGATGTAGGAGTTCAGGGGTTCAAAACCTATCACCACTCACTCCTCTCTAAAACTCTAAATGTACCAAAAGGAGGAGATAGGGAAACTATTCCTGTATGCTTTTGTGAAACCTGAATGTATATAGAGAAAAACAAAAAAAAAAAAAGCTAGTGAATCTGATCAAACAGTGACTTCAATTAAAGGCATGATTGAAAAAGGTTTGCTGAGAGAAAAGCTGATATGATTTTTTGTTAATGTCATTCATAATAATGCAAGCATCTTCATGTTCCTAGATTCCCTATTAATCTGTTATCTGTAAGCTTAATCACAAAAATGCTTAATTGTAAAGTAACTTTTTACCCTACTCATTGTATGTTTCAGGAACTGAACACGGGGAGAACGATTGGCAGTGGTAGCTTGCGCGATGGATTGTATCTGTTGGATGACGTTTGTCGTTTTCCAAATCCGGGTATCAGTCAAGCTTTATTAGGAACTTCTAGAAATCTTTCCCATGAAATTATTCAATGGCATAGGAGATTAAGACATCCCTTTTTTTCTGTTTTAGGACGTTTATTTCCCACTTTGTTTGCTAAGTGTGATTTTGATTCATTAGTATGTGCAAATCCGGGTATAGTCAAGCTTTATTAAGGAACTTCTAGAAATCTTTCCCATGCAATCTATTCAATGGTCAATGGCATAGGAGATTAAGACATCCCTTTTTTTCTGTTTTAGGACGTTTATTTCCCACTTTGTTTGCTAAGTGTGATTTTGATTCATTAGTATGTGATGCTTGTGAACTTGCTAAGCACACCAGGCCCTTATTCTCCAATTAATAATAAAAGTTTGGTTCCTTTTGCTATTATTCATTCTGATGCATGGGGTCCTACTAAAACTGCCTCTCTTTCTGGTTATAGATGGTTTGTGACCTTTATTTGATGAAAACAAAAAATGAAGTTTTTTCGTGTTTTCAAAACTTCCATAAAATGATTTGTACTCAGTTTGATGCGCATGTTAATATCCTAAAAACTGATAATGGTATTGAATACATGAATACAGATTTTCGTATCTATTTAGATTCTCATGGTATTATACATCAAACTAGTTGTGTCAATACTAGTGATCAAAATGGAGCAGCCGAAAGGAAAAATAGGCATTTACTAGAAGTAGCTAGGTCTCTTATGTTCACTATGAATCATCCCAAACCATATTGAAGGAATATTATTTTGACTACTGCTTACCTTATCAATCGTATGCCTCCTACTTTAAATTTTAAAACTCCATTAGAGGTTCTTCAAGGAAAAAACTCTTATATTATACCTCCTAAAGTCGTTGGCTGTGTTTGTTTTGTTCATCAAAATGGTCTAAGCAAATTAGATCCTCGAGCCTTGAAGTGTGTGTTTGTTGGTTACTCTACTACTCAAAAAGGATACAAGTGTTATTATCCTCCTCCTAGGAAATACTTTGTGAGTATGGATGTTATCTTTTGGGAATTTGAGTCTTATTTTCCTTCCCAGTCACTTCTTCAGGGGGAGAAATATCATATGGAAGAGGTGATGAATGACATTCCTTTCCAGGGGGAAACTCCTATAGACATAAATAATAAGAGAGACCAACTACCCAAACCTCTAGGAAGATTGGATAGACCTGATTTGAAAACCTACACACGGCGGACTAATATAGATACAACCATGGAACATGAAACCTCTGATCAATCATCCTCTCCAATTTCAGGCCTGAAAATACAGAGGAACAAGAACCTGGTGAGTCTTCTTTAATCCCTGTTGATTCTAGCCCTTCTGACAATGACCTTGATATTCCTATTGCTCTTAGAAAAAAAGTTAGAACATACACTAAACATTATATCTCCCATTTTATCTCCTATAATGCTTTGTCCCCTTCTTATAGAGCCTTTGTTTTGTCTGTTTCTTCTGTTTCTATACTGCAGGATTGGCAAGAGGCATTACAGGACTCAAAAAGGCTGCAATGGTTGAGGAGATGAGATCTTTCTTATGAGAGCTTTGTTTTGGTCTGTTTCTTCTGTTATCCTTATACTGGGCAGGATGGCACGAGGCATTACAGGACTCCAAAAAAGGCTGCGAATGGTTTGAGGAGATGAAGACTTTGGGCAAAAAGATGAGACATGGGATCTTGTAATTCCTAGCACAGGAGAAGCCCGTTGGGATGTAAATAAGCGTTCACAGGCGCACGTGCACGACAAAATTAAATACTGCAGGATTGGCAAGAGGCATTACAGGACTCAAAAAGGCTGCAATGGTTGAGGAGATGAGATCTTTGGCAAAAAATGAGACATGGGATCTTGTAATTCCTACACCAGGAAAGAAGCCAGTTGGATGTAAATAAGCGTTCACAATTAAACATAGGGCAGATGGTTCAATCGAGAGGTACAAGGCTAGATTAGTAGCCCGAGTGTTCAGTCAAACCTATGGAATTGATTACCAAGAAACATTTGCTCCTATAGCCAAGACAAACACAATTAGAATTTTGTTGTCTTGTTTAGCCAATCTTTGACTGGGAGTTACATCAATTTAATGTTAAAAACGCTTTTCTACATGGTGATTTGGAAGAAGAGGTGTATATAGAGATTCCTCCTAGATTTGATGATGACAGGACTAGAGGAAAATTTGCAAGCTGAAGAAGTCATTATATAGGCTGAAGCAATCACCAAGAGCATGGTTTGAAAGTTCTCTCATGTAATTCAGAGCGATGCTGATCATACTCTGTTCATTAAACTTCATTAAATATCATGAAGGTAATTACCATGGGGTAGTTATTCCTCTCAACTTTCTTTGCGAGTTCAATTCCTTGAAGGAATGGACTAGTTCTAGAGTCTTTTAAGTTAAAGTTCAGCAATAGTTTTCTTAACATTAAATCCTTTTAAGTTTTGAGTCTCCTGCTTGTAAATTGTAACTTCGTAAATATTTATAATTCAATTTCAATCGATAAAATTTCGGCAAATATGCTTTTCGTCTTATGTTTGATGCAATTCCAACCCTAGCAAGCCTTGTCTTTCTTGATAGAAACAAGTGCAGGATCCAACTAGTATATGGTAGTTATATTTTCAGATCTGCTAGGTTAATTAAGCCCTAATTCTTGGTTCCTACAAAACCTAGCCTAATTTCTAAAAGTCTAGATTGTTTACTAGCATCCTAAATTACTTATTCCCTCAGATTTGAAGGAATAGTTATTAAAGGTGTAAGGCATAGGTGCAAAAAGATCTTGGAAACAAGTCGCAAGGCACAGACAACATATACCTAGCAAAGCAACAGATGAGAAAAACAAAAAGGAGCCAGAACAAGGTAAATGAGAAAGATTTTAGGCATGTGGATGCTGAAAATGAAAGGACTGACAGCTTACTACCCCAAAGGCAGTGATCAAAATAAGATTCAGCCAATGGCAACAACATTTCAGATCAATTGACACCGAGTTCTAGTAGATCAAGAATTTTTGAGTTTTGTAATGGTGCTTTTTGCTATGAATATAGCAATTTTTGCCAAAGCCACAACCGATTATAATTTGCTATAATTAAGAGGATAAGAATAACCTTAACAAATTCCTTTCCAAATCAAATACAATGTTTAGTGGACAAGTCTAACATAATTTTCCAACTGTTAAAGCCTATATTTTCTCCAATAGCAAGAGGAAAACCAAATGAAATAGATACATTAAAAGCTTTCATTTAAAATTTTCTTCTGTTTTATAAACCAAAAGACATGTTAGTATTTTAAAAAAAATCTTCTACATTCCTTGCTCTAATTTTTCTTGTTCACTTCTTTGTAGATACTAACCCTATTCATAAAGACCTAGAAAAAAGAAATAGAAAACATTATTTTGCACATTATTGCATAATCATTCTTAAACCAATGTATTATGCTTCAAATTTTCAATTTTTTTATAATATTGAATACTAAAATTGTTTGTGATTGGATACTATGCGTGTGGCCTCCTATTATGGCGTCTTTGCTTTTAGCAGTTGAAATTGTTGGGTTAGTTTTCTATAATTGGCCTTTTTCAGGCAAATTAAACCCATAATCACTAAACTTATAACTTGATTCTATCATTATCACACATAATCTCTTTCTTTCTTTCTATTTTTTTTTCTATGCATAAAAGAATAATAATAACAAATTAGGGGATTTGTTCTTGTTGTTTTTTTTAATACCATGAGCGCTTAGATGAAGTTAAAAGTAGAAATGCACACTTTTTTACCCATTATTGTGGCTAAAATTTCACCCTGTTTACACTTAAAATTGTAAATTATGAATACAAACAAACGGTAGCTACTACTTAGATGATTCGACTGGAGGATATTAGCAAATAACCAAAAGGCAAGCATGCCATATAATTTGTCTAATTTTGAATAAGTGTTGCTAGTCTCTTCATTTAATTCACGGTTTATAAAAAAAAATATTTTTTCTGATGAAGACTAGGTTTGATAGAGAATTTACTAAGGACAAGAAAAGTTGAGGAGAGTGGACACAAGATTAAATGATATTACATATTTTTCCTTTTTTTTTTTTTTTGGTTATTCTCGAAAATGGGATTTTTTTGCAAGATACTTTATTCATTTCAATTTTTACGCATTCATTATGTTGTGTCCTTATAGTTGTGGAAATAGCATTTCCCCCTTCTAACCCTTCTTTTCCATACTCCTTAGAAATTCAAAAGGAGGAATATCCCTAACCAATTTCATTTTCCTTTCCTGTCCCCTCTTTTACCTCCATCCAAATAAAGCATAAGTCCAAGTCAAAACTTCCAAAGGGTTTAGTGTATTCAACCTTCTTACAGCCAAGGACAAGTTCTAATCAGTATAGAATTGCTTCTAGAGGACCTATTAACAAGCCTAGAGCATCTTTAGAGATTTTGTTTATATTTATCATGGACTGTCTTGTGCTTCTTCTCTCTAGTCCTCTATAGGAATATTTCAATTTGGTTGACTAGAAGCTATTTGGTTTGAGAACAATGCAAAGTGTTTGATGCTCACCAAATTCATTCACACATACAAACAAAATTCACTGAAAAAGCAATCTAGGGAAGTTCTCCATTCACTGTACAAGATAGGATTGATTGACTAAAAATAATAATAACAAATAAAAGGTTTAACTCACTTTCCCTTGAAAAAGATCCAGATCCTCTGTCACCAATAACTCCTACATTCCTTGGCCCAGTGACAACTCTGTTCAACTGTTGCAAGTGGACAATAATTTTGAAATTACAATGAGAATGGCATTTTAAAGCATCCCAATATCCTTATATTAGACAAAAGCAAAGTTTCCAAATGACAAATGTTAGGAATAAGAACAGCAGAAGCAGCAACATGATCAAGAACAGTAGCAATATCAATGTCCAAGCAAAGATATTTGTTCAGTATAGTATATAATAACGAGTCCAATGTCAAAGGTTTCCAGTGTTTTATACGGAGAAGGGAGGCAACATATAAATTTTCTCTCTCCAGTCAACCACAATAAAATCCTCACAATACTAATTTGAGGAAAACAGATTGCCAAGGGTTCAACCACCAAGTATAAAAACCAAAGGTCACATAAAAAATATAGAGAACATATCTCCTGGATTTCTTGGGCCCATGGAAAATTACACAACTTTAATCAGAAAAGCAAAGTTTGAAACCCCAGCCCATTGAGGAAAAAGATATAAATGAAAAAGAGCCAATTGAGAAATGAAAAAAGAGAAATGAAAGATAGAAAGTTAGGCGAAATGACCTTCTCCACCAGCCACCCAAAAAAAAAAAAAAGCTTTTATATTTGGGTCAGTTTTAGCCAAAACATTCGACTACATTATTCAGTTATATCCTGAACTATAGGGCCTTTGCAAAAATTTTGTAGCCATCCCTTATTCAAGCATTAATCTAGAGCATCTATTTGTCTGAAATGCTAGCATTCATTATTTATAAACAGCATAGCATTATCATTTCTTATTTCTTATTTCTTTGGCATGACTCACAAGCTATTTATTTGCTTTCAAATATTTTGCAATTTAACAGTTTCAAGAAAGTGGGGAAAAAAACGAAAGAAGGGAGAAAATAACCAACTCGGTTCATAAAACCATTGAACAAAATGAGTTTCATTAAAACAAGTAAAGGATTAGATTATTAATATTCAACATTTTGGATGCCCGGATTATATTTAATCAATTAGAAAAATTTCAAGGTGAGAACATGTCAGCTACAAATCATAAGGAACACCCAATAGTTGAAGGAGCAATTTTAAAACTGGAAGTTTTGACTAGAAATGATAGAACTTTTTGTTTCATCAACAACAGAAGCTGATTGTTCTGTACTACATTAACATCTTGATGGAGGAAAATTTTGATAAATCAACCTATTAGCCACTTGGGTGTCAATTTTGGGGTTCGGACAAATCAAAAGATAGAGAGCGGAAGTAAGATAGCAATTAGCAATCGCAGCAAAAAAAAGACACTGATGAACAAAGGATTAGCAGAATCAGAATAATTGAATCCTTTATCAAAATAAAAAAAAATAAAAAAAGACAAGAGGGGAAAGAGCACAGCAAGCAAAAATGTGTTGCATTCAATATTCATGATAAACTTCCCTTTAGTTATACATAAGACTAACTTAACAAAAGACCTCTGTCATTTAAAGCTTCCGTTGCATGCCTAATAGCAGCACAATTAATCCCCAAAATGAAATAGCATGAACCAGCCTGAGAGAAACAGGTGTTTATATATAAAATCTACTCTTTTTTTTTTTTTTTTTTACAATTCCTTTAAATGTATTTCTAATTTCAATGTGGAATCACTTTGAGCCAAAACCTAAGGTCCCAAAAGCTAACTGTTTTGAAATCAAATGCTATGACCCTTGTTTAGATTATGGCTCATATTCAAAGAAGATGTGGGTCAATAAAAGCACACAAGGAGGGGTAAAGCCGCTAGACAGTAAATTTGAATTAGCACAGGGAAGTCTAACTATAGGAGATATTTATGAAATAGCAAGTTTCTGCCAATCCTACCTGTAAAGGGAAAACAGTGGTCTGTAAATGAATACACTCTTGTAACCTTCTCCTTCCTAACTAACAGTTATAACTGGCTTCCCACGAGTAAGGAGCTTGCCACATAAAATTCTTATGTCTTATTTTCTCTCTCTCTCTCTCTCTTTCAGCGTTTCATTATAATCTGGTATCATGTGTGAGATCTGTGCACTTATTTTATTACTAGTCCCATCCACATTACAAACTTCCTTCTAGATCTAGTTTGTCCACAGTCTGTTAAATGAGGTAAATTTAACAGAATTGTTGTTAATTTCCCTCTCCCATTTGTGTCTCAACCAATTCAAACAAGATTTAGATCCAGCTCCCTCCCACCTCTTGAAACTTATAACAACCAGTTTGTAACCAGCATGTTCCTTTAAATAAGCCAAATAACGTAAATTCATGATCAGAAAATTGATAAAAACTGAAGAGAAGTATCGTTGTTATATCCTAAATTTCTTTCTGTTAATCATTTACATGCAGCAAGAGATAACTGCACTATGCAACACAGATAATTTCAGCCCTAAGGTCTTGAAGAAGAAAATTCATGCCTCAAATGATCAACTTTTTCCATCTACACTTCATGGTAAGTGCAACTACCTGCTAAACAAGCTCAGCATCCACTGAGGACAACTGTAGTACTATCAGTCTTTAATATAAGGTACAGCCTTTTTCCACTTTCCAGAAAAATGGTTGGGGTTCATAAGTGGATAACCCTCCCATATCATTAATTCTAAATGTTGAAAATTGCAAGATTATAGACAAGTTGCACTAGCACAACAATCAGCTTTCACAACAAACAGTGACATCTTAACTGAGAATTATTTATATTACCAGTAAAGAACAAAATTTTGCAAAACACGGGCATAGGAAACATGGAAAACCCAAATATTTTATGCTACAAACACACAATTATCTAAGTTAACAAATCTGACCTTTGCAAATGTACTTGCCAGATCATCCACATCTGATAAAGATCCTAAACCCACACCCTGGAATTGAAAAAAAATATGTCAGAGCCAAACAAGTGTATTTCATGCCCGAAGAAGATTTAGAAGTTGCCAGAAGATTTAAAAATGTGTTCCTTGCTGTTATAGATTATCTAACAGTTCTATGAGAAGTAGTTGCAATTGCATTGCATCACAGGTAAGCATTATAAGCCCATTAGGCAAATAAAATACACCAAAATTGCTTATAGTCAATTTTTGGATATGCGTGTCATCTTTTCTTCTCATCCCCAATAAGGCTTTAGAAAGTTAGGTAGCAATGTTCCAACTATAATTGCTACGTACTGGTGATTGCAGAATTAGCTAATAATCATTTCTAAACTGCACACAGTTTACATTACCAGAAAGCACATATTATTGCAAAATTTTAAAAACATGGGGATAATAAAAATGGAAAACTACGTCAGAACCTGACCTTTGCAAAAGTACTTGCGAAATCATCCATATCTGATAAAGAATCTAACCCTATACCCTGGAATTGAAGGAAAGACATATTAGAGCCATTACAATGCGTTTAACGACCCAGAACACTTTAGAAGTAAGAGACAAAATAAAAAAAGAGTATTGCAGTTAGAATAAACAATGAAACAGATATACGAGAAGTGTCATTCAAAGGCATATATTATGTGTATTTCAAGTTAAAGCAAACAAAGGGCACACTTCAAAATAACTAATACCCAAAATTATTTTTTTTATACAAGAATTTCCTTTTTTTTTCTAGGGGTTCCACTATTTCTGGACCATTTTCATAATCGAAACTTAGCATGAAACAAGTTCGGTGACCACCTTCGGACAGCAATATGAACACCCTCCCCACACACAAGCAAACATTTCTACCAAGTAGTGATAATTAGGACTTCTCATTCAAGAAACAGATTCTATCAACTGCATGACAACTCCTTCTAGTTAAACATCAAAATGGAAAGAAAATAAAAAGAATTTGAGAATAAAGCTCTGGAAATAAGAAAATGGGGGTAGGAGAATAACAGAAACAGGGGAAAAAGCCATAGTGAAGGGAAAAAATCCTCTAGAAAGACAAGAAAACAATTTTCTCACACAGCAGCTACACAGAAAAAACCCAATTCCTAAAACATAATCATCAAATTCAAAAGAGAGAGAAAGAAACGCGACAAACATAGTAAAGACTAATAATAACCTTTTCCATAACTCCAAAAGGCCTATTCTTTGAGATCTGGAATGCCTTGGCTCCTGAAAAATTAGGAACTTAGGGTTACGAAGTAGAAAAATTGGGAGCTGAGGATATTGGAATTAGATTGGATTAGATCGAATTGAATGATATTGAGGGTAGTTGGGCGCTGTGAGCTGTAGCCAGAGGAACAGGATGCAAGAATTTTTGAGCAGCGACCTAAAAAGTGAGATTTAAGATGGTTTCGATTATTAGAGAAGAAAGACAAGGTTTTATGGCTGTTCTCGGAAAATGGCTACATTCATCACTTTTGGAATTGGATTGTATGTGTGCACCCACATCTCAAAAAGTCGCTGCCACCTAAGATAATAAGTGGAAACATATTAAACTCCCAAGTTATTTGTTTAATTTGTTTAATTTAAAAGAAAAAGTTCTAAAATAGACCGGCCGGTTCAATAAACTCGCATTCCAATTCGGTTAATGGACCATTCAGACCTTTAATAGTTTGATTAATTGGAACTTTTTTTTAAAAAAAATTACAGTATAATCTTTATGATTTACGAAACGCAATTAGTCTGTCTTTGCCTTTTTAAAATATAAATTTTTTCTTTTATTTGTTTTCGTTACACTACTGGATCATTTTATCCAATTTTTATGCATCTTTCCTATTAAGTCAACAAAAAAACAGATAGTAAAGAAGAGACAATAAAATATGATACCAGAAAAATTTCAATACAATTCCTATAATTTTAAAAATACAACCAGTTTGTCCCTCTATTTTAAAAATAAAAGATGTATTTTCGGTATTTAGTGCTTAACAGAAAAGATCCAAAAATTGGATGGAAGGACCTTATAGCCTGAAGAAAGTAAATTATAACAAAATTTTAGTATATTTTTAAATAAAATAGAGACGGATTAATTGTATTTGACAAACTATAAGGACCGTATTATGATTTTTTCTATTTTCTTTACTCTTTCTTTGGAAAGGAGAGGAAGAAAAATGGAGGAATGAAAATAATAAAGAAAATAATGAAGAATTGTTAACTTGGTTTTCATAGTCATTTTCCACCATTGTGTTTGGATACATTAAAGAAAAGAAAATAAATTTATTTTTCTTTATTTGAAAACATAAAATTTTAGAAAAAAAAGAAACGTTATTATTGAAAATTGATGATTATGTTCTCAATTAAATAATAGAGTATTTAAGACAAGATGAAAGTTTATTAATTAATTTGGGGCATTTGGTAATTTAATAAAAATAAGTGAAAATTTCATTTTATTCCATTATTTTCTCCCCAAATTAGAGAAACTCAAAACATGTGCGCCCAAATGAAAAATAAGGAAAATATTATTTCCTTCAATATTTTCCTCTTATTTTCTTCAATATTATTCAATATTTTTCCTCTTATTTTCTTCAATATTATATATATATATATATATATATATAATATATATATATATATATATTTTTTATATTATAGTATTATAAAATGCTTATTTATATTGCTAAATAAAAATTAAATGTTAAATAAAAAGATACATTGTTTTGTTTGGACTTAAATGTGTAAAAATATCCTATTACGACTTATTTGCAAAATCATCCTAAGACGAATAATTTTTGCCCCGGCAACCCCATTTTGAAAAATTTAGTTATATGACATCCAGTATAAAAATCATTATATATATATAAGAGAATCATTATCTTTCTTTAATTGCTAATTTTTGGCGCTTCCTTAAAGAGAGTAAAACTCTCTCACAAATTTTTGTATTTGCATTTTTACTTTTTTTGAGAAAATTTATAACTTATTTGAATAAAAAATAGATCCCTTTCAATTTCTCTCCCTCTTTATTTAAATGATAATTATTGTTGTGTGAATTAGCAAAATTTATGTTGTTGGGTGAATTTGTGGACTTTCGCGTCAATTATTGGAGATTCCATAGATTTGTAACTTACAACCACCATCTCTCATTCTTTAATTTTAAAAATTTATCTAATTTTTCTTTCATTCGGAATTACTAATTGTTATCTTTCATTTCTCTCTCTTTTTCTCTTAAATAATCTTTCTTGCACTTGCACAAATGAGAATTAGAAAATAAAATGTACCATTTCCTTTCGTCTCTCTCTAAATATCTATACAATATATATAATAATGCTTTAAAAAGTTATTATATTGTGTCGTGTGTCTCTGGTGCGGAGCCGCCCTTTCTGTATGACATTTCATTTTCAAAGTATTGTTTTACGAAAGTTGATTGCTCAAGATCGCATGATGTATTTTTAAGAAATATTCTTGTTGTGTCTTTCTTTTTTTTGTTGGGGAAAAGGGTCCCAGATAGTGTAGGAAAAGTGGTACCATTTCTTCTATGCAAAAATGGCCATATGAAATTCTCATAAATTCAATTTTTAGCTTATAAATATTTAATGGTTACCAATATTTTATGGTATTTGATTCTTATAAAATTGTGTTTCATTTGATTAAAAATTTATTTGTCTATCATTTTTCTATTCAAATTACATTTTCTTCTATATATGTGAATTTAAAAAAATGATATTATTTTCTCTTTGATCCAATTTTAAATTTGTAGCCAAGCTATGTGGAGAAAAAGCTAATATGAAAGGAGATTATAATTTTATTTTATTTTGAGAATAAAAAGCAAATTAGGTAATTACTTTTAGTGTATTAGAGATGGTAACATGCACTAAGTTTCTCTTATTAAATTTATGCTATTTTGTTCATTAACTCCATACTATTTTTGTTCCTAAATTTGGTAATATAACTTTGAAATAACAATAGAAAATGGTGATGTTGTTTTATCTTTTGTTTTTGGATTTGTTTTGGCTATTGATTTTTTAGTTCTTTCATTAATTTTTCTTGCTTAAAAATTTAATTTGCTTCTTATAATAAATTATAATCAGCGGCGCTAAAAGCACAGGGATTTGCCTAGGTTAAAACCATAAAAATGACTGAAAGTTTGATATTTTAGTTATTGATACTTTAACTTATCTACCTTGGTTAAGTAATCCAAGGAACCCAAAAAAACACTCCCTATTTTCTCCTATTTGAACATTAACCTAAAGAAATCTCTTCTCTTTCAAATAAACGATTCATCTTTCTAAGCATCCCAAATCGCTTACTTACGCTTTCAAAACTCTACTTTCCTTGCAAAATTTTCCTATTCAACTATAAGTTACCCTTTGTATAAAAATTGGATAAGTTATTTCTTTGTTTTAGTCCATCTTGTTATACATTGACATAAAATTAGTTGTTTGTCAACGATGATGCAGAAGTTGTCATTGATAAGCAATGTACTGCATTTGATGCTTTATAATTTATTATTAAATTATAATTGCCAAAGTTGCATTATTTCCATTTTGACTTTTTCATTATGTAGTTTGTGTGAGTTAGAAATTCATTGAAATCAGAATTTAATTTAATTTTTCATATGCATTCGATTATCAAGAACAAGTTATATACATTAACTAATATAAATTGCAAAATTTATTTAAAAGACAAAAAGACAAAAAATCATTATGGAAAAAGATAAGGGTTTTGAAGGGTTAGTTTATTTATTTTTGTTTTAAGTAAGTGTAATGACATATTTTGTAATGCATAGGTTCTTGTTACAGTTGCCTTTCTGGGATCCATTTGTGGCTTTTTAAAAAAAGTGTATAATTTAGCTATATGTGTAAATGATTGAGTCACGTTATTATAAAGATAGAAGAACTATCTAGTAGTTCTATAAATGAATTTTTTCATATGCTCTTTCTATACTGATAACGTTTGATTTTGAAATGCTATGGTTTTGATTACATTGCATTAATGGGCCTCTTTCTTCTACTATTTGACATCTCTTTTTGTGAAATTAGAACTTACCGTTGTTTTGAAACAAATAACTTCCAAAATAAAATTTGTGAAATTATTTAGAAATCCAATATTTTTATGCTTGGAATTGAAAAAAAAAATATATTTTTAATTCTGGAATTTCAATTCTATGCAATTTAAATATAACTACAACTAAATTCACAAAAAATAGGTGAAAATTCAAATGAATTTTTCACAAAAAACTAAGTCATCCAACTTTTTTATAACAAAAATTACCCTTTCTCCTTCTGAAGTCATTTTTTTCAATTTTTTACTTATTTAACTTATAATATTTTATCAAAACTTGACCAAAACTATTTTAAAATTTTGCTTTATAGAAAAAAATATTTTCTTATTTACTTTGTTTTTATTAAATTTTCATCTTTTTATTTTAATCTTTCTATATTTTTTTATTATTGTGGAGAGAGATTCAAGTTAAAATTTACATTTAGCACTAAATTAAATAATAATACTTTATTATATATTATTTTTATTTTATATATTTTTTTAATAAAAAATATAAAAATTATATATCATAACATAATATAATTAGTATTTGTTATTTAATTTTTATGAAAATTATTATTTTTTAAGAAATTTTTTAGAAAACAAAAGATTAAATTGAATCTTTCAATTGTTGAATTTACTCCATGTACATGATTTATCAAACATGAAAATTTTCATTTACAAATAGATTCTCTTAGAATTCGCTTATACAAAATGAATTCCACATTTTTAAATTTCATTTATTACCAAATGGAGCATTAAAGCTGAAATTAGTTTGTAATAGGCTCTTTAGTTTAGTAAATATAACCACCCTGATCTGAAATTTATGAAGTTAATGACTTATTGCATGTTTAATTGGTACCAAATTAGGATTTTGATATGATTTTCAATTCCGAAATAAGTTATTTTTCATAATTATTGAGTCTTGATTGTGATTCATGATTAAATTATTTTTTGGATTGTGAATTAGCGAACCTCTGTAAAATTTGGTTTTTGAAAATCCTGTTCTGAGTCTAAAAACTTCCTGGCAATTAGTCTGAAAAACCTTATTGTGAGTCTAAAAACTTTTTTGTACTTGGGTCTGAAAATCCTATTTTAAATCTGATGAAATACCTTTTCTATAATTGATTCTAAAAAACCTTGTTTTAAGTCTAATACTTTGTAATTGGTCTTGAAACACCCTGTTTTAAGTTTGAATATGTCTTGTAATTGATTTGAAAACCTTATTCTTAAAGTCGACGGCTTTTTTATTTTGTTAATAACCGTTATTCCGAGTCTTAAAACTTCTGGTAGTTAGGTTCTAAAAATTGTTTGAAGGTCTGAAACTTTTATAATTTGTTTGAAACTCTCTACTTTAAGTTTGAAATACTTCTTCTAAATGATCTGAAAACCTTGTTTTTAAGTCTGAAATACTTCTATAATTAGTTTTGAAAAAAAATCCTATTCCTGAAGTTTAATAACTCTGTAGTGTGAACCCTCCCCG